TTCATACATTTATAAATGTCATAGTTTATAAACTAAATATTTAACTTACAAATTAAATATTTAGTTAACAAGCTAAATGTTTAACTTGTGACTTAAATATTTAGTTTTGAGCTAAATGTTGAGCATGGACCATGCAAACTGCAGTGTTGGGCCACATTTGGCCCACTGGCCTTCAGTTTGACAGATGTAGTCTATAATCTTTGACTGCTCTCCTTCCAGCCCCTTCGTGTGACCAGGAGCTTCAGACCGCCCTGGAGGACAAGCGGCTGCGCGGCACCGATGCTGTGTTCGTACCAGACTGCGCCCACGGCGGACTCTACAAACCCGTCCAATGCCACCCCTCCACCGGCTACTGCTGGTGTGTGCTGGTGGACACTGGGAGACCCATACCAGGAACCTCAACCAGGTGGGCCACAAATAAAGGGCAACACGCAAACTTTGAGGGCAACGTCAACCTCAGGTACTGAACAAGGAGACTCACAAAGAGACAAAGAGATCAGGACACAGAATGGACCTTTTACCAAATTACGTCATCACGCATGCGCACTTGCATTTTTAGCACCTCAGCCGGAAGCTGGGGGAAGCCGCCAGTCGAGTTGATAACAAGACAAGAAATAACGAACTTACCCTGCTGGGCATGATCTCGCTGACTTCAACGTCCTTTTTTTCAGTGATTGTCTTTTTTGACACGGTGGCCCCCCTCGATAGTTGCCTCACTATGACGTCCTCTCGGATCCGTGGCTCACTTATCAGGGATTTTGTCCATTGGTTGTCCACAATTTTACGAAACCATGCATCGACATTAAAACTCGCCTTCATCAACAAGGTCGCCCCACCCCCCCATGTTTCCGTGTATGGGAGGAGTCAGCATTTCGGTATCCAATCAAAACGTTTGTTTCATGCGTGCTTTGCGTGATGTTGTAATTTGGCAAAAGGTCCATTGTGGACTTTTGGACTCGTCCTGTCATCTTTTGACCCAGTTTCTGTGAAAATTCCCCGTGTGACTTTCTCACCACCCCCTCCTTCTGTTCTAGGAAAGCTCCAAATCCTTCCCTTATTATGAATTAGCTTTACACCCACTGGTTTGACACAAAACAATTATTTGAACTGATGGTATAATTATGGCCCGTTTGATTCATGAGTAACTTTTGGACTTAAAAAAGAATGTAATTCAGTCAGTTTTACAGATACAGCGGGTAAAATAAGTATTGAACACGTCACCATTTTTCTCAGTAAATATATTACTAGAGGTGATAATGACATGAAATTTTCACCAGATGTCGGTAACAACCCAAGTGATCCACACATACAAAGAAATCAA